TATGTAAATCGCGTCCATCGATCATAAGCTGCTATTCGGAATTATCAACCGAGAGAGAAAATAAAACATGTATTTTCCATTAAATTAATTGACGCGTTATTGTTTAGGTAATTTGATTTGAAATTATCTCCCTTTGTTTGGTTAGTCGGCAATTAAATTAATGGCTATAGATCAGGTTAACTTGGCTGAAATTAGCCTTCAATTTGTCACAATTCTAGCTAATTCTCGTTCCATTACGTGATCCATATCTCTTTCGTGGAATTTCTTTTCGTTTTAAAATCAGACTGTTCTTACGGATGGACTTACATACATATATTTTCTCATAAATTCCACATATACCAAATCTCTTCATTCGCATTTCTCTTTTCCTTCCTGCTGCTGGAAAGAAGATAGTATCACTCCACGAAAGATAAGTTAACAAAATTTTTCACCACGGATTTCAAGAAGAATCTTTTGCGTTTTTACCGATTCAGCAGTAAGAGCAATGGTAGCTCGTCGCGATCGTTTCATCTTCGCGTTTTTCAGCGGCATCCCACCGATTAATTCTTGCCGGCTGGGAGCAGCTAAATCGCGCGAAATTGCTACGAATTACCAACCTCGGTTTCTAACGTTTACCGTGTCATCATGTTCGTTCGTCTGCCCCTCGGCCAGTTCGTTCCTTTATCGAGCTTAAAAGCAACATTCACCATTGGTTATTATTACGCAATTTTGTGCCTTTCGTAGATTCTAATTGTTCGTGGTTGGTACAATGGCAAGAAATGGAGGAGGAAAAAGAATAAAAGGATAGGTTAGGACCCTTATCTGGCCACATTAGGTTTAAGTAGCCAACGATATTCCGCGTAAATGTCCACCGATTTATCAGTTCCCCTCATCTTTATGCTCATTTGTTGTCTCTTTATGGTCTATGTTGTCGCTTTTATCTAGCCTATCTGATGCTCATTTCCGCAATGCTCATTTCAGATAATTTCATACCTGGAAGAATTACATATTTTCTAAATTTTTACAGGATTCATCCGTAATTTTTTTCATGCATACCATTTGCTGTAATTCATTTAGAAGGACAGATGGAACAGGATGGAACAGAAAATCGGATAGGATTGAAGAACAGCGCTGCTTCCGGAAATATGCAAATTAATGTAGAGTTTACAGTAACACGTGTAACGTGACTTGTTTTTAATTCATGGAACCAGCGTAATAGTTTTTGTATTCGCTGGAGCAGACTTTCCGGGAGAGGCGTTATGCCGTGAATTCAAATAACAGGAAGTAGCAGCCAAGCTGTTGCCAGCGAAAATATTGGCAATAAATGTCGCGATAATTACGTGGAGAATCGGTACGTGGCTGCGCGAGTTCGCAGATTTTGTAAACTCGATTTGTTTGAATCTTAACAGAGAAAATTTCATCCAGCGAACCCGTTGCATCGCGTTGTTTGTTTGCCACTGCCGAGAACAAAATTTTCCAGGCAAAGGAACATTATGAAATACCCGAAATCGATGGTTGTCGATGATGAATTTTTTGATGATCTCTCTTGACTGATTCTGTTGTCTGATATTTCGTTATTTATGAATTAGTAGAAATGGAATTCCCTCACGTGATTTGCATATCTAAGATCGTAGAATTGTTTTATGATTCTGCCCGATACTATTCGCTGTCACATCAGTTTATTTTCCGCAGGACGAGAATATTAAAAATTCAAGAGTAAAACCTATCTTTCTGAGAAGAAAGCTTTTTCTCTGTAAATCTGTGCTTTCAACGAAATTGTTTCCATGTTATTTGCACTTAAAGTAAGTGTTTTTCATTAAAGAAGAATTTCAAAGGAAAGTAGCTTAGAGTAAATTTTTTTCCTTCAAACAATTAAAGTAACAATAATAAATGATAAATGAAATCTTATCTTTTTTGACGAAAATAATTCGAGCGGTTCGCGGTGTCGTGCGCGTAGTGCATAACGACAACGTGTCTTAAGAGTCAATTCTGACTCCTTCAATTAGAAACTCTATTTCGTTGTGGCTCGTCCTACAAATTGAGATGCAATCTGCGCATAAAGGAGCATCCATTGCCTCGGAGGGAATTGCGTGTCGCATTGATGCGGTAGCCAGTTAACGTTGGACAGCAGCTCGCGTTAATCGGATGCAAGTCCCGACTAATGCGCATCCGTCTCTGTGACGTTATCGTGGTCATCGTCTATTCGATGACTATCGTTGTGATTCTAGTCCGATGAGCTTGTTCGCGGACATTTCCATTCGACGAATCGCGGCGTAACGAACGGAATCGCTTTCGAAGCTGACGATGTGTATCCGTATCGATCAACGCCGAATCACACGGCACGTGTCCGCGTTGACGTGTGCACGAGTTGCGTGAAACGCAGGTATCACTTCCGTGCCTCTATGACAGACTTATTTGCATAAGAACCATTCGCATCAGGGTGTAAAGAAGAAAAATTATTTGCAATTTGCTTCTGTTTCAATCCTAATTGAAACGGTTAGTGAGAGTTAATGAGTACGATCAGTCAGGTTGATTGAGGCAGATCCGGTCAAATGTCTGATCTGTTTGATAGATCACGGTACGATCAAGAGAGGAACGCGGAAATGTTGACAAGATTCGTTTTGTAATAAATTCGATCGTGATTATACCTGGCGAGATTTATTTTGCACGCTTTTCCATATATTGCGTACAACATAAAGTTATTACACGCGTCGTTCAGGCATAGAATCGCTAATTTCAGTGAAGCTGGTCGGCAATCTCTAGTTCAAGCGGCGTTCACGAGAGTTTACGGTACGTTAAACGCTATTGAATGTAGTACATCGAGGCAGAGTGGTCCTCGTTTCCGCAGTTAATATTGCGCGATGAGAACTAAAATTTCAACTGAAAATTTCGTCAATGGGTATTTTTTTTCGAATGTTGTACATGGTTGGAGATTTCATATTAAATTATCAAAGAATCCATGAAACATCATAAAAACACCCATTTAACAGGAATTGAACGAATTCTTCAAATTTCAAATCTTTACCCCGTTATTATTAATTCATAAATTAACTCTAAACACTCGTTGATTTCTAATAATTAGCAGATTTCACATGCGCGGAAGAGAACTTGCAATCAATGAGAATACGTATTTATTAACATTCTATGAAGCACTTGTGGCAAATAGATGCTATTACCACTCGTCCGGAAACTCGATTTCATAAAAGGATAAATAACATGTGTTTCTCATAGACCATTTTATTTACTTTGTCTACTTTCGATTCTATAAGTATCGGATATTCAAAGTCATGTCATCATAGTATCGACAATTATTCTGTAATTAATATATACTATAAGGCAAGTCTGGGTGAGATGGCTCGGTTTCATTATATAGGTCATATTAGTTAATTTTCAGATTCTTTCAGTGGTATCTGTATCACGATCATAAACTATATTAACCGTTCTTCTTGTTTTTTTTTCATTTAAAGTAAAATAAGTTATAGGTAAGTTATAATTGAATAATTTCAAGAATTTTTTATACTTTAAATTATACTTTACTAACATTTTATCAAAAACTAATTACTTTTTCGGAATACAGTGTGTTAATATAGTGTTTAGAGGTTATAGTTACATTTCTATAATGAGATATTGTCGTATCATTATAAAAAAAAAAAAATAAATAAATAATTCACTATCATTTCAGACCATCGGGTTAAACGAACCGGTGTTTTAGCAGAGAGTTGACTCATCATGAAATTGTGTATAATAATTAGCAAATATTTTTCTAGAGAATCATATCAACTGAATATAAAAGAAAATCTAACAATAGAGGATTAGGGACAAATGAAGGATTGTTGGATAAGATAGAATTGGGAGCGAACTGGCGACCCGGTCATGGCTTATACTTTTTTGGTCGATAGGACGATTCCCTTCTACGTCGTGACTCCACTTTAGTTTTGGAAGTTACAGGAAGATCGGGAAAGCAACTTGCATCGTTGCAGCGAGAAGGAATGTACAGAGTGAAAACTAATTTTCATGGTGGGGAAAACTAAGTGAGCTCTGTTGCGACAGGAAAGAAGTACATCGCCTCTGCGGTAAAGACAGTTCAAAATGGCACAATGAACATGAATGTGGCATGTAGAGTTTTCGGCATTCTGGCTCCTAAGAAGACGAATGGAAAATAATTATTCAAACAAAACTTTAGGATCATCTTTATTGCTAAATATGGAAAATAAGGAAAAACAAAATTCATATTAAAAAATTGTAAAAGTACGGTTTTGCACCAACGTGGGAACATAAAATTTATAGCATTTAATTTGGCCGCATACTTGGATATACCATAAATTTAATAAGAAAATAGGGTCAGCTGGACATAATTGGCTGGATGAAATGTGTTTTTACAACGCTATCTAGATTTGTGTCCGAAAATCAGAAGGTGTTTTTTTGTCTCTGTGCCAGGATATATGTGAATAGGATAAAAATTGACTTGTATTTTTAACTATTAAAGCAAATTATAAGAAAATTTCTTAATAATTATTAAATTTCTAAACAAAGCGAGAAATATTTAATACAGATGAGACAAGCCTACAGTTGAATAATAAACTAAAAATTGAACTCAAAATATGTACTTTTTATCTGGGTCATTCGATTCAGACAATCCGGATGATATAGCCTTTTACACAAGGCCATTTCTTTTGTTTTGTAAATCTATGATTATTCTTTATTTTTCTGTTTGTAACATTATAAATTTATATGTATCTACTTTCACAAATGTATACTTTTCTTAGATATCGATCATATCTTTCAAAAAAAAAGTAGGCTATCACTCTCCGACTTACCTGCTATTAATATTATGATGATTATATATACAAGTATATCAATATTGTGGGATGGGCAATTCTGGGAAAGGGCTCAGAACTTTCTCCAGTGCCCAACTATTGTCGCCAAATGTCTCAAGTGGTGTGTGTCATGTGCTGTAGAGAAAGTTAGGCCTGGGACCTGAGAATGTGTATTGTTAGACCTGGAGGGCTTAAGGCAAGATATTAAGGGTATGGATGCGTTTGTGTATATGTGTGTATGAATGACAAATTTTTGTGCAGATGAGTCAAAGAGTTTCGAGCGATCAGCGAGAATGCAGTGAGTTGCGAGTTGCGAGAGTGAGAATACAGAGTTGCGAGTCGTGAGAACGAGAATACAGAGAGTTGCGAGTCTATAGAGTAGCGAGTTTAGCGAATAAATATAGCAATTAAGAGAGAACAGTGTAATCATTTTCAAAGCATCATTAAATGAAATTTCTTATTTTTAACTTTATTAAACAACAATTTTAAACCAAAATTCCTACAATATACTTATCTATACCAAAGACAGAGTTCATTTTGTAGCTAATGCTGATACTTACCAACTTTCTGTAAATTTTCTTTCGATTCTAATCAATTTCGTGAATAGTTAATTATAAATTTTATGATAAATTTTATAATATTGCATATTCTATTATGATGAGAGTATATTTACAATTAGAAATATTTTCATAATATACTGCTCACAAAAATTAGGGGATATTTCAAAATGAATATGAAACGATAAAAAAAAGAAGCATTTGATTTTTTTTTTTTTACTAAACAAGAACATTAGAAAAGCAAATGACAAGCCAAAGAAAGTTGTTCTTTCGCTTAAAAAAAAAAGACATGATAAAATTTACTCTGTGACAAATGAAAAAAAGGAAAGACAAAGCTGGGCTTCAAAATTGTCGATATATTGCAAACTATTTTTACGACTGGTAATTCGGAATATGTAATTAGCACAGTTCTGTAATCGTTTACAAGGCCTTGCGCGCTATAACATATCGTTGAACGCTCAGGAATGGCAAATACGAGATTGTTCCAGAATCTGGCTTGCGCAATAGAGAGAGCACACTTGTGCCGTTGTATTTACGACGTCTCGTTTATGGGAACAATAGGAAATTTCTAATACGGATGATTGAATACGTAATTGGTGGATTTTGAGAGCCGCAAAGAGACCTTGATCCTCGATGAACCCAAAAAGCAAGGAAGCTTCTCCTAAATTTCTCATTTCCTTGCGCTTTGTCTGCTAAAAAATCGAATGGTCGAGGATGAGAGGAAATTAAAAGACGATTCGCTGCAACGAGCAGAATGTAAAAGACAAAAAATTCGATATCCGCGGGTAATGGAACGAATTTTCCAGTGTCCATCCGAGGATTGTGCGCGTCCGCCTATTTCGATTATTTGAAAATTCAATTTAGTAACACAATTGTAAAAAATTATACAAAATTGATACAAAATTGACACAAAATTATAGACACCAAGACCAATTTGCCCAAAAGCCGATAATTATTAATATTTCATATTTGCTTTTCAATAACACAGCGAAATGTTAAAATAAACATTGCTGTGTAAACCAGCGCAGCGATATTGAAGTACGCAGCAACTTCGTGTTAATTATTGCAAAATCGAAAATCTTTTATGTTGTGATACACAGCTACAGCAATTCCGAAACTGAACAAAAATATCGAGTCCAAAAAGTTTAACGCTTCTTACGAGTGTATTCTGGTGCAAAATAACAGGTAAATCGAGACGATGAAAGAACACGTGATGGCACGTTCCTGGCAACAAGATGAGTTATTAAATAAAACGCGTATGTTGTACTATTTCCTTTTTGTTTTATGCTCGGCTTCACGAGCCACCGTGTCAGGATTACGATCATTTCTTAGTTCTTGCGAACGCTTTTAAAATTAAAAGACACTCTGAGTAAAATTAATCCGAATGTCGCGTCAACTCGATAAAATTTCGAACGGCATAAAACTTGGACAAAATTAGCACTTACTTTGGAACACGGAATTACGAAGGTTTGCTCGCTATCGCTCGCCACTTTGTTTCCTGCAGAAGCGCGATCTTTCCACGCAAAACTTCGACGCTATTTTCTCCAAGTTCACAGCTAATTTTCTGTGGGGATTTCCGATTGATTCACGGACAGACACGCTCGATGTCGACGTTCAATCACGTGGTACATCTTTCTCAACAGTGCACGGTGCATGATCCACTGCCCGACAGCAAAAACGCTGCATCTAACGATTAATTACCCTCGCGGCTCCGTTGCACGTGCATTAAACCTAACCCCTAGCTTCGATACGTCACAATGGCACGCCAGCAGGTAACACGTGCATGTTCTCATCCATCAATCACGTGACATTCTCGCCGACCCATTATCGTCGCGTTCGCCTCTGATTATCGTGTTCGATGCGAGTTTCAACAATCGACGGAGATACGCTTACAATCCGTATACCGATTGCGTCTTGTCATCGACTTCCTCCAGGTACCATTATTCTTTTCGAGTGGTAAACAATAGAAAATGGTCTCATTTTCTCTTGGTTTTCTCCTTTTGTTCTTCACATTCCTTCGCACATAGAGCGTCTTTTAAAGAGACATAGGTACATATATATTATGAACCAAGTTCGTGGAAGAATGGCGTGTAGCTACAAAGAGCAGAGAGTGGAAAGCAAACACTCCGTCGGAGCTGGAGTTACAGCCGAAGTCGAATAAATATGCTACCCAGTCCTGAATGCACGATGAAGGTGACGAAAGGAGTCCCTAAAGGATAGTTCTCAGACAATTTGGATTATTCGCGAGTATTCCCACAGGTATACTCGAATATCGTGTCTTGCAATTTCTCGACCTGACAAACTTGGACAATTTATCACCCTACGTTACAACTCCCACTTTTGCTTATCGACTCAAGTTCCATAAAATGTGTTCTCTCTGAACACAGAATTATTCTGTACATTCAAGTTTCACGAGCAATGCTATTGAACCTTTTACTTATCACGTAGCACGTATCACATCGTAAATTGTATTACGACGGTCTGCATCGTGGAATCAAGAAGTAGTGGTATCGTGATGTAGAGTGTGAACACCTGATGCGTATTAAAATACAATTTGTTGCGTACGTGAGACAATAAACGTTCCTGCCAGACATACGGCAGTCGTTCGATCGGTGCCCGTTTTGCATTCCACTCGTTCCGTCTCGTCAGAATTTTTCCCGGATATCAAGCGAATTCGTGCGAGAACGAGGTGTCGCAACGTGTCCCAGTGACAGCTGTTCCCTGCTTCGAAACGACGCGTTTCGGATGCATAGCCGCGGTGAGATGCAACCTGTCGTGTCTTGCGAGAATATGCGAAGTTTTGTTGCCATTTCCGCACCAAAATAGCGTATTCCGCCCGCCGCTAATTAACGAACAAGTACTTATAACACGCGTTCTCCTCGAGGTTCATGGCAGTTTCAGTAATTATGAGAAAGCATGCGAACACTGTCCCCCAAGAGACGCGATTCAATCTTTCGTGTTGTTGCGTCATTGCGCGCGCTGCGGCTAGCCTCTAGCTCCGGCAGTCCAGGGATCATCGATTCAGAAGGTTATTGACCGCATTTGAAATTAAAATTCAACACAAAGCTTCCTATTTTATAATACGTGCAATAATATTTTATAATATGTACAATGAAGAGTATAACCGAATACACAACGACAAAAAATTGTCGATATTTTAAACTATTCTTTAAACTTTGTAAAAGAAAATCATCTAACAATTTATTTATTGTTAATCTCACTTTCAAGTGTAAAGCTTCTACTTTAACTGTTCCAAGTTTGTTTTTTTTAAGATACTTTTATTTTTCATGTAGCAGGTGAGAAAGTAAGAATACTTTCATTCTCAAAAATTGTAAAAAATCAAATATCTGTAAAAATATTAAAAAATATTTTTTTTGTAACTTGATTTACCATGGTATTAAAAATTGAAATTATCTCTTTATAACGATTCCTTGAACTTTGCTGTACGATTTTTTTTTTCATTTTATTAAACTTTGAACATTAAGATTTGGATGACGAAATGTTGGGATTTTTTGAATATTTGTCATTTAACTCTAATGTTTAAAGTTATAAAATGACGAAAAAAAAATGCTACAGTAAATTTTAAGAGATCGATGTAGAGGGAAAACTCCAATCTTGAAAGTCACGATGGATTTAATCGTAAATAAAATTTTGTAGTGCTGTTACATATGTATGAATTTTTACAATTTTTTTTTAAGGAAACACTTTTCCATCTACTTGGGAGAAAAAACGAATTCAGGATGACCAAACTAGAAGTTGCATGCTTTAAAATGAGACCAAATAGATTGTTGTATGATCTCTTTTCAAAGTTGTAACAGTTTAAAGTATCGATAATTTTTCATTTCAATTGTGCAATACTTGCGATGGACAATTTTTTTCTAGAAAGCTCAATTATACTACAAAATTATCAACAAAACACTCTACTACATATTTTGCCCTTTTCTATATTTTACATGCAAATACTCAATAAAATATCATTCACGTTAAAATTCCACGTGCGTATTCAATTTTGTTCGCTTAATTGTACGTATAATATTAGATAACATGAGAAAGAGAAACTTCGAATTATGACGCGGTCTTTTCTCATGACGATGTTATTTCTCCTACTTTAAATCTGTCAGTTAGAAAGCATATTTAGAAACTTTCGACCCATGTATATGCAAGTCCTAACTTGACAATCCGCTGTAGACAAGCTAATGCTAATAGCATTAGTTACACACGTCACTCCAGATTTATGAGATTAGGATTGAATATAGTAGGAAGTCGGTAATCTCTTTGTCGCACTGTCATAAATCTAGTTCGGTATTTCGAAGCTGAAAGTATAATATACAAAGTCTTTTTTTATCGTTTTGTCATTCGTTAAATCTTGACAATTCTATTCTCTTTGTTAAAACAAAAACGTTTAGTTATTTGGTTATTTAATAACACGTCCGTCCAGTCGTTATTTCATATCACAAGCTTTCGCATGATAATAGGGATGCTAACGGTTCAGTCTGATACGATAAAGCTCCTTTGTTACTTCTACCATGAAAGTTTTCAAGCGTGATTAATAAAATACGTCTCCGTGTCATTCTCTCTATTCTTTCGTTTAATCACATAGTCCATGATTCGTGGCATTTTTGACGAACTTTTACTGTATCTATCATTATACCTGCTTTTCATTATATACATACTACGTGTTGCTCGTTTCCGTTTTCATTTTAATAATCGCACTTC